ACACATGCCGGTATTATTTTTTAACCAGAGAACACTACAACATTTCTACTTAAAAGTAGAAGTGTCATAGGTCCTTATAACTCACGCACACACCCAAAGGCTATCTGATGTGAGATAGTCCCCTCCCTTGGGACTTCAATAGAGTGGTTTTGACATTGTTTGCATGCCAAATGAANCCGATGTGGGATAGCCCCCTCCCTTGGGACTTCAATAGAGTGGTTTTGACATTGTTTGCATGCCAAATGAAAAGAACAACTATCCATTGGGGAAATTTACGGAGGTTGAAGATCTAGGATTTGAAATTTACTGATAATGAGATACTTTCAACGTCAAATTGGATCTAGATAATCTCCTTTGCTCTTTTATTTAATTTTACTCAATGATAAATCATTCACCAAAAAAGTTGCAAAGTTTATATCAATTAGTTTCGGACAAAATTTTTACATTTCTTCCTTGATTTTCAAATTGTTTTACACAAACAAACGATTTCTAAGTTATTTTTCAACTTATCATAGCTTTCCTGAAATTTTAATTTCAATCTGCAATTTCATACGAACAATGGTAAATCAAAAAAATAAAAAATAAATAAGTTTAGAACCACAATATTTGAGGACAAAAATTTGAAAATTATAGTACCAAAGAAATTGATTTGGATTAGGACTTGGTGTTTATCCAAGGGATAAGTGTCTGGCTTGGCATAGATGGTGCAATGTTGGAACTTCATTCATAAGACCCATATGTGAACCAAGCTTGACAAGCCTCATACTTGGGTTTCCCCTAAGGATGTCCTAATTTAAAATCTAACCCATGTAAATTTGGTTAGTGGGGCAGTTTCCTTGTATGAGTGTTATCTTAGGTACAAAGAACCAGTTTCTTAATGGAAGGAAACAGTTTCAAATAATTTAAAAATTGAAAGTAAATGGTTACCAGAAATAAGAAATACATAAATTGTATGGGAGATCCCATCCCTTATTCACACTTACAAAAAACTCTTTTACTCCCTAGAGAAACCATATTTGCAACATACAAGAATCAAAGTTTGTGAGTATAAGATTCCATACTCTTTCCTCAGGGGACTCGTTGCTACAAATCTCTTGTAAATTTTCGTGAGTCAAGGTAAGATTTTTGTTTGATCCGATGTATAACTATTAGATCTGATAGACCAGGCCCAACTCATGTTGAAAGCTCAGTCTTAATTAAAAGCCCAAACTTATAAAGATCTAATATCCAGCCCAAAGGGGTCCATACTTGGTCAAGCTCACCAAGGGAGTAAGTAGGGTCTCTAGGAGCCTTATCCATGCCGCCTTGGAAAGGGTCAACCCTCATGTCATCCTTTAACTGAATCTCATGGAGAGTACCGTAAGCATCTTATCCATTGAGAAGAGGTCGCCAACTCCACCAGATTAGTCACTTAGTTACTAATAACTCGTTACAATCTGTTATGAGGTGACTATAAATTGTAAACCCCGCCAACTTGGAGGGCATCACATTCAGTCGAGCATATCTCCCCTATCTTTTGCAGCTTGTAACTCCCTACTCTCTCTACACTCCTCGAAGTAATAAAATACTTTGATGACCCTAGCCATTCAAAGTGGACGTAGGTCACGTTAACCGAATCACTGTAAATCCTTGTCTTACTTGTGTCTCTACATCTTTCTACTTTACTACTGCATTTATTACTGCTCNGTACGTAGGTCACGTTAACCGAACCACTGTAAATCCTTGTCTTACTTGTGTCTCTACATCTCTCTACTTTACTACTGCATTTATTACTGCTCATATGACAGGTGGTGTACAAACCTAATTTGTGAGAATCACTCTGGAGAATACTCCCTCACCCACAAATCACTCAGACAGGGCTACTTTTGGCCTAGCATGGTGAGAGACGCCCAAGAGTTCGCTAGGAAGTGTAACAAGTGTCAGCGCTTCGCCATTGTGCCCAGGCAGCCACTAGAGGAGCTGATAGTCATCACAAGTTCTTGGCCCTTTCCAAATGGGCCATCAACATCCTAGGCCCCTACCTCTAAGAAGAGGACAATGCAAGTTTGTAGTGGTAGTCATCGATTACTTCACTAAGTGGGCAGAGACCGAACCCTTAGAAAAGATAACAGACGCGAAGGTCAAAGACTTTATCTAAAAAAACCTGGTCTGCTGCTTCGAGATTCCCCACTCCATTGTCAGTGACAATGCCAAGCAATTCGACAATAAGCTCTCGAACTTTGTCTACTCCAAACTCCAGATAAAGCAGCTTCATTCCAGCCTAGTGCATCCGTTGGCAAACGGATAGGAAGAAGTCATGGTCAAAACAGTTTTACGCAACCTAAAGAGAAGGCTCGAAAGAACAAAGGGTCTTTGGGTTAATGAACTCCCATGCGTATTATAGGCTTATAAAACAACACCGAGAACCCCAATTGGTGAAACCCCATTTTCCCTAACCTTCGGAACTGAGGTAATTATCCTTGTGGAGATCGGGGAACATTTTCTAAGGGTCCAATACCACGACCCCATCACCAATGAGAAATGACTCCACATCAACCTTGACTTGATAGAGGAGGCAAGGGAGATGGTTATGGTCCGTAACGCGGAGTATAAGCGCCTGCATGACAAAATACTACAACTCGAGGGTGAAGCCTAGTTCATTCCAATTAGGAGACTTAGTCCTCAAAAAAGTGATTCTCGCTACAAAGGATTCGTGAGAAGAAAAGTTGGGAACAAATTGGGAAGGACCCTGCATCATAACAGAAGTGGTGAGGCTAGACACCTACAAGATCTAGAATTTTGAGGGGAAGGTCTTACCCCATCCGCATAACGCTCCACACCTGAAGAGGTACTACCAATGACACCTTAGCAGACTAGAAATAGTAGGGGAACTTGATTTTATTTTTTGTATCTTTTTTGGGGTTATTGCCCATTTTTGCTTGACATAAGCAGTGAATGAATAAAATTTTCTAAGTTTGTTTCAAAAGTTCTTTGCATTCTATTTTAAAAAAAACATCAGTGGCAAAAAATCACTTTTACAAAAACAAGGCTGCAAACTACCTTTCTAAAAAAAAAATAATCAAAAGTCCCCAGCACGCTAACTACTCTCATGGTCGTCCTCCTCCTTGGCATCACTATCACCATTAGAGCCTCCATCGCTATCATCAGGTGTCTCATATGGTAAGAAGCTTGAAACGCCAATATTAGGAAAAGCAGCAGAGATCTTTCCCCCAAGCTCCTCATAACCATCAATGAAAGTATCTGTAAGGCCAGTCTCTAAATCATTCTCAGCCCTGATGGCCCTTTCATGAGCCAATAGCAGATCCACCTCAGCTCAAGAAGCTCTATCGTGAGTTGCCTTCATCTTTGACTCCGCTCTGAAGAAGGCAGCCTCTTTGAGCGTGGCCCTCTCGCGGGTCTTCACAAGTTCAGTCTCTCTGAGCGCAGCCCTCTCACGGGTCTCCACAAGCTCAGCCTCTCTAAGCGCGGCTTTCTCACGGGCCGTCAAAAGCTCAGTCTCAAGTTTTGTCACCCTCTCGTGGGTTGCCGAAAGCTCCACTTCAACCTTTGTGCAAGTAGCCTCTCTGAGCGTGGCCCTCTCATGGGTCGCCATAAGCTCAGCCTAGGAAGCCTTATCAGCAGCTTCAAGCTCAACAATCCTCCCCTAAGTAGCAAAAAGCTCCTTATTCACAGCTTTATGGCTATACTTCAACTGGCCATAATAAACAACTTTTGAAAATAAACACATAGATGCAGTTGAAACCTGGAAAAGGGAAAAAGGCAAAAGAATGTCCTATAGGAGGAGTCGATGAATGGGGGGCAGGAGGTGTGGTCGACATGGGAGTTTCTGGAGTAGCAGTCATATCTGGAGGAGTTGCCGACCAAGGAGGCACCACTAGAGGGGTCACTTGAGAGGAGCTCGCCAAAGCATCGCTTATCCTTGCCACCTTAGGAGGAGGAGTGCTTCTATTAGAATAACGGGACCCAACCACCATTCTATCCACTGAAAAGTAGATAAATTGTTACCTAAAAAAAAAACACACCAAGTAAAGGAGGAAAGTACAAATGTACCTTTTCTCTTCAAGGAGGAGCCGCTAGATCTCGAGGGTGCACCAGCCCTAACATCAACTGTAGGGGAACCACTGGCTCCACCATCTTTATGCATGAGAGCTCCAAAGTCCTTTATAGGATGAGCCCTCATAGCTTACAACTTCCACTCTTGGTCCTTCAAAAGCACAGGAAAACCTGCAAGGAATATGATGAGTATATAGCTTGCAAGAAATGTGATGAGAAAAGGGTAAATATAAAAGACGTACTAACTTTCTTAGGAGCACCCCATCCTGTTGATACCAAAGCCCTATCAGCATGTGAAGTCCACTCTCCACCGACGAACTTAAAATGAGACTTCTAGCTATGACAGTTAGAGGGAAATCTGGTAATCAACTTAACTCTTCTCATAGTAAAATAGTACCAGCCTCGATTAGGAGCAGAAGTCTCACTTAAAGTATAAACTGCGTGAAACTCACTAGGAGAGACATCCTCATGATGCACCTTCCTCCAAAATACTAGAAAACCCAGCAAAACTCTCCAACCATTCAGCGCTAGCCGCCCTGGTGCCAATGAAAAGTAATACAAAATATGACAAATGAAAGAAGGTATCGAGAACCTAAGCCCAACCATAAACATCTCCCTATAGATAGCAATGTCTCCAAAGGAGTTATTGCAAACACGCTCATCCATCTCATCTCGATGGCACAATACCATTGGAGGAATGTTATAAAGAGAAATAACCCGCAAAATATCACAATTAGTATTGAGCATGCTAGAAGTGGTATTTACTTTGGATCAATCGTCATCAAAAGCTACCTTTCTTTGGTGCTTTTTGTTGCGAGGGTGTGAAGTATTGCTCGAGCCACTACCAGGAAGGCCTTGAGGAATTTGATTTTGAGAAGTACCACCTGAAGGAGTTAGATATCCCACCACATGGCTAGAATTTTCACCGCAAAAAGTGCATGACTCACCTGCCTTGATGTACACCCGGGTTGTCTTGGACTCAGTGCCCAGCCCTGGGATGAGGCGCCCAGCGCTACGGTCGCAGCGCCCAAAACCTAGCTAGTGGAACCTAGCGCGCCAGGGACGCCTACCATCTCATCTACGCGTTCAGCTCACCCACCAACACCGCTGCACGACTCATCTCTAGACGCCCAAGCATTGACGCTCACCATGCCATCTCGCCCAATAGAGATCGTCTGTAGTGGACCCTCCTCAGTAGGGCTTGTTTGCGGGGCACCTTCCTCAGTAGAGCTCTCCCGTGGTGGACCCTTCTTAATAGAGCTCGCCCAATGTAGAACCTTTTTAGTGGAGCTCGCCCATAGAGACGTCTCCCCAATGGAGCTTGCCCAAGGGAGCTTGCCAGATCCCAGATGCACCTTTGGCGCCTTGCCCCCACAAGTCGAATTTAGATCTGAGAGCCTCTCGGCCTCAACAGTACCCATAGGAGCTCTAGCTCGCCCACCGAAGCCAACATCACCTCCACTATACTCAATGACGCCTAGAGCTCACCCAAGATGCCCAATGCCTTCGGTGCCTCCCCCGTGCTCATGTCGGCCTCCAACCAGCGATGCGTGAGTAGCGGCCTCGGACAGCCCCATTGGTTCATGAACAACAACGACGGTGGGCGCCCATGGCACCTCCCTCTCCTCTTTGCAGACAACACTAATTTCTTTGAGTTTCCCACCAAGATTCACAGACCTCTGCACATTTTCTTCTCAAGTGGCCATTGTTCAAAGTGCTCAACTCAAGAGTCTCACCTGTGTGTTCTTGAAGGATTTCAAGAAAAGCTCTAATTCCCTCTCTCAAAATTATATGGAATGGGTGGAATGAAGAAGGAACCCCTATTTATAGCCTAGGGTTTTTAAAATCCTGTTAAGGAAAGGAAAAATTAAAAAGCCCCAACTTATAACCTAAGGCTCTTCAAGAATTCAAAAGGGGGAGTAAAAGGAGGAGTTTATATAGCTGGAGACATCCTACAGAGCTAAAATATATCAGGAAAGAAAGAGCAACCATAGTAGATGATTCAAAAAATTGTTTAGGTGTTCCCCACGACCTAATCGAGCAGGTCGATCCTCGAAATTCAATCGAAGCGCAACATGGACATAGCGAGATTCGTCTCAGATTGCTAAAGAGTCCTCGACTAGGTTGAAACTGATTGCCTTGACATTGACATTGGAGAGAAATCTTCGTGAGTCAGAATTAAAGTTCAACTGAATGCCCTCTTCTTCAAGTTTCATTGGACATGGGGCATTAGGGGGCAAATGATGGACCAGACCCAACTCATGTTGCAAGCCCAGTCAAAATTAAAAGCCCAAACTTATAAAGATCCAGTATCCAGCCCGAAGGGATCCATACCCAGTCAAGCTTGCCATGGGTGTAAGTAGGGTCTCCAGGAGCCTTATCCATGCCGCCTTGGAAAAGGTCAACCCCCACGTCATCCTTTGACCAAATCTCATGGAGAGTACTGTAATCACCTCATCCATTGAGAAAAGGTCACCAACTCCACCAGATTAGCCACTTAGTCAATCTATTATGAGGCGACTATAAATTATAAGCCCCTCCATCTTGGGGGCATCACATTCAGTCGAACACATCTCCCATATCTCTCTCAGCTTGTAACTCCCTGCTCTCCCTACACTTTTGAAAGTAATAAAATACCCTGATGACTCTAGCCATTCAAAGTGGACGTAGATCACGTTGATCAAATCCCTATAAATTCTTGTCTTACTTTTATCTCTATATCTCTCTACTTTACTACTACATTTGTTACTGCTCATCTGACAGGTGGTGTACAAATCCAATTTGTGCATCATCAAGATCTATCAATTGGTATCAAAGCAAGGCATCAGATCTGATTCTTAACTTTTGTTTTTGTTCAGCTTATCAAATCTGTGAAAATGAATATTAAGAAAAAAAATGTTGTTTTTGTATTGTTATTGTCGGTATAGATATGCATGTGATATCAAATATATTATTAACAATCTATATTTTAAATGCAAATACAAACACAAAACATGAAAATATGATACATGGGCAATATTGTTNTTGGCGGGGTGAAGGCGAGGGACGGGGTGGGGGAGGGGATTACAAATTTACCCTCGGATAGGGATGGAGATGAAAAATATACCCGTTAACGGGGGTGGACCAGGGATGGACAATTTTTTTAAGCGAGTACGACGATGGAGACTAAACACCCCCGCCCCCGCTTTGGTCCACTGCCATCCCTATACATAATAGGCCAATAATGTTCTTTAATAGCATATTAGNGGGATGGACAATTTTTTTAAGCGAGTACGACGATGGAGACTAAACACCCCCGCCCCCGCTTTGGTCCACTGCCATCCCTATACGTAATAGGCCAATAATGTTCTTTAATAGCATATTAGCCTTATTTAATTATACTATTTGCAATTACTTTTACGATAGTTTGGTTATTCGAGTCAAATTAAGTCCAGTTAAAGTCCAAACTTAATTATGTAAATGATGGATTAATTTAGGTGATTAACCATCAAAAGTATTATTTTATTATATTTAATATTTTTTTTAATTTTCTATTATTTATGATTAAATGTATTATATTCCTCGATTTTTTAACATTATACTTTTTCCAATTGTTTGATTTATTTTACAGGTAATCTGGTTGATTTAAAATAATAATGAATAAAGTAAATGAATCAAACACTAGAAGAATGGTCACAGTTGAGAATGAGATATTTGATAAGGATTGAATGGTCAAAATNTTTTTCCAATTGTTTGATTTATTTTACAGGTAATCTGGTTGATTTAAAATAATAATGGATAAAGTAAATGAATCAAACACTAGAAGAATGGTCACAGTTGAGAATGAGATATTTGATAAGGATTGAATGGTCAAAATTTTTAAAAAATGAATATTTGAAGATAAGACAACAATTTAATTATTGTGGGAGTCCAAATTATAAGAAACTCATTTAGAGTTGGATTAGGAAAGTATTAGAAGATAAGATTTTGACTTATCTTCAGTATTTTAGTCATAATTTTTTATCCCAAAGTTTGATTGATCTGATGTTTTCAGCGTTGGAAAAAATATTTCTAGAGTTACGAAAGTGTATTTCAGAAAAATTTCGTGAATCGACCTCTAACTATACGAAAAATGAGCTTAAAATTTGGGCAAATACGGTACATGCACTTTCAAGATTTGATGAATGGGTTTTGATCTAAAATGACTCCTATTTAGCAAATACTTGTTCTAAGGCTAACCCCTGCCTCTCTAGTATAAATATAGATTTTTTTCTTTTGAGATGAGAGAATTCTAGATCCCATCTTCTACATATTTGTTCATTTTTTTTCTTCATGTCTATGGGTTGCTAAATCCCCAACTAAAACTAGGGAAGATACTTTCAATAAAATACGGTATTGCTTTTGATCTAATGTTCTTTTAATGAATGATATATTCTTTTAATTTAATTTTCAAATTGTAGTAACATTTTTACTTTGTATAATTTCTTGGTTCGTTATACCATATACATCGAATGCGTGAGATTCCCTATAAGTCAAATGATTGGTTTTACATGCTTTAATTAATTATCTAAGATTGTCATAAAATATTTGATTTCTTATTTGTTATAACATTAGGGTTTATTTGTTGAAAAACTTGATTCATTGTTGACTCCGAGCACTGTAAATACTTTTGATCCGCAAGTAGATGCCTAGATTATTTAATACATAATGACGAGTTAAAACATCTTATGTATGGAAATATATGTTTAATAAAGTTGTATTTATTTTAGTTTTATGTTGATGAGTCAAAGTATTCCAAAATTTTAAGATGCAATGAAATTTGTCGACAAAGAAATTTATATTTACTATTATCCATCACATTAAGCACTTGCACCATATCAAATAATAGCTTAGCCCCAAAAAGAAGACATTATGTCATAATGACTGATGGAGTGAAAGAACGGTTTGGGATATTGTAATTAAGTTGAAATCTTATTACCTAAAGGTTTTATAGTCTTCTTTTCTATTATGCTCGAATCCACTAGTTTAATCATTGAGATGGGTAAATCATGATAATATTGTATAAGGTGATTTACCACTAAACTTACTAATGATTAATAATTTAAATAAAACACAATTTTTAGCATGCATATTAATTATAAGCATGTAATAGGGTAATGGATCAAATTTTTTGGAGGGCATGTTGACCCGACACTTTGTAGGGATATGCCACACATCCAAGTATGTTAATAGGGAAAAAAGGTGCATGAGAGGTGGGAATGGTCTAACTACCTTAGTCTTTTAGTCATCCAAAGTCATATCTCAAGGAAAATAAGGNAAATTTTTTGGAGGGCATGTTGACCCGACACTTTGTAGGGATATGCCACACATCCAAGTATGTTAATAGAGAAAAAAGGTGCATGAGAGGTGGGAATGGTCTAACTACCTTAGTCTTTTAGTCATCCAAAGTCATATCTCAAGGAAAATAAGGCACTACATTCCAGATTCCAAAACTATTAAAAACTTCATGATTATAGTTGAGGAGCAACTTGTGAGATCTAATAAGGCACTTGCTAACACTCTAATATCAAAGCTTGCTTTTTCAAAGCATAATGGTATAGTAATTGTGTAACGCCCCAAAAACCACCTTGGACGGCATTACAATTTAAAATCATTCATATCATGAGAGCACTAATATAATCCATAAATAAATGGGGCTTCATTCATCCTCCATAAAATATTTACAACATTACCCAAATTGATATGCCGAACCACGACATTTACATCCCAAAAATTTAACTATCATAATGCAGCAGCCGAATTACAAAAGAAGACTAGACTTCAAAATATTTAAAAAAATGAATTTTCGAGTCTAGAACAAAAAGGTAAGTCGCTCTAGGCATCCACCTCGGGATCTATGTTCCTTTCTATAGGAGTCTCCCAGTGTGCCGGTTCATCCACTCCCAACTCCTCCTCTAGGACATAATCTGAAAAATATTATTTGTAGGGGGTGAGCACTAAGTTCTGTAGCAACATTTCTCCCATACTCGAATAAGGTTTAGAAAAACATATAAAAATGGTCGATCACCTTTCACAAATAGCATATATGAATTTTGAAATAAAACAGGGATAATTAAACAGATCTCAAGTTTAAGCAACAACAGTAATTTAATGCATAAGTAAAACCAATATACAACTAATAATTCATTCCACCATCAATTGTTTTTCTCAAGTTCTTGCCGAATCTCATACTTCCCAAGATTCTTGTAGAAACCATTCTTGGTACAATGAACAATAACCCACCACTGTAACATACGACTAATAATTCATTCTACCATAAACCGTTTCTCCCAAGTTCTTGCGGAATCCCATACTTCCCAAAATTCTTGTAGAAACCATTTTTAGTACAATAAACAATAACCCATCACTGTATTCGTATCTCTAGTATGAAGTAAGACCTCGCATCGATACCATCGAAAATATCATGGCCCACGTACATCCCACACAAATCCTTTTTTCAAGATACCCCATAAGCGATAATGGTTTAGTCCTCGCAAGGCACTAACCCCATTACGAGTGGTAGAAAAAGTTCGTACCTGCACGGAGTAAGAAGGTGTCTACACACTCCACAATACCCGATCCATAGTAGCCCATGTTTATCCAACAACCACACAAGAGATACAATACTAACAATTTCCTCAAATAACCAACAATTCTATAA